TAGAGGCCAGAGGCCAGGGAGAGAGGGCACAAGTGGGGAAAGTGACTCCAAATCTAGGAACTGAAACGATTGCCGAAGTTTCACAGCTTCTTGGCAAGAAAACGCATGTATTAGATTGAACTTCAGAGATCAACCTAATATGTTTTTTATGCTTTTCATATATTTCTTTATCTGCTTTGTCTTCTACAGTAGTTCTCAACCTTCCTAATGCCACAATGTATTTCCATTGTTACAAAGGGATCGTGACCCATAGGTTCTCACCCACAGGTTGAGAACCGCTGGTCTAGTAAAACATTGATGAAATATTATTTACCTTCTAGAATTATGTTCTTTGGGAGTTCATTTCTTTGGAAACCAGTTTAGTTTTAACCCATCTACGGGTCAGCGTGTTCATTTGATTTGCTATGGAGTTATTTTGTTGGGGTATTTTTCTCCTTAAGTAGTTTGTAGAAAGTAAAGTGGATGCTAAAATCTCCTTAGGTCTGAGAACTGTTCTGAATAAGAACAAACTACAAAGCTTGATGTATCCCTACATGAAGCCTGCTGCTCTCCCTCAATTCTGATGCTCTCCGGCCCCCCCACCCCCAGGTGTGGCACTCCTGGCCAATGCCCCTGAGCGGGTAATTGAGCGGCGACGGCGGCCCCGGGATAGCCCAACTCTAAACAACAGTGGCATCAGGGCTACCTCCAGGATAGCCAGGAAGTCGGGGCTCCCACCTCCTGAGGAGCAGCCAGCCTCCCAAAGGGTAAGTCTCTAGAGAGGAGGCATCAGCACATCCCTCTTGGCCAGGGCTGACCCCCACCATCTACCCTGACAGGATCGCCTGAGCCAGGTACTTCGGGATCTCGAGGATGAGAGCACACCTATCGTGAAGCTGGGGGATGCCAGCATTGCTGCACCCTTTACCTCCAAGCTCTCATCCATCCAGTGCAGTGAGTCCACGCCTGCCCCTGACCTACTCCCACTGACCCTGCCTGGCACCCACCCACCCACCCACACCCACCTGTCCACCTCCTACAGTCTGCCATGTGATCAAGCAAGGCCGCTGCACACTCGTGACCACACTTCAGATGTTCAAGATTCTGGCACTCAACGCCCTCATCCTGGCTTACAGCCAGAGTGTCCTCTACCTGGAGGGAGTCAAGTTCAGTGACTTCCAGGCTACCCTACAAGGGCTGCTGCTGGCTGGCTGCTTTCTCTTCATCTCTCGTTCCAAGGTGGGCCACAGAGGTGCTGGGAGGCAAGGGATGTGTGGCCAGCCAGGGCCAGGCTATTACAGGCTTAAGAACTGTTATCCTCAAGTTACAGATGGGGATCGAGGGCTTGGAGGTGTTGGTCTTACCCAGGATGGCACAGGAAGTGCAAGGTGATGCAGATAACCTCTCAAGTCGCACTGCTTGGGGTCCCACACTATCCATGGTCAAGGGTCTCAAGTGGGCCACACAGAGCCCCATAGGCAAGAAGGAAACAGACAAACAATTACATAAGAGGTTCTCCACTCTGTCTCAAACAAACAAAAAACCTAAGTAGGTCATAGGCTTCAGGGGATGGCCTGGTAGATAGACAGCTAGAGACTCATGCAGTACAGACAGGTCAACACGTAAAGAACAGGAGCTGGTGGTCAGGAACTGGGCACAAAGGCCCCAGACAGACACTGACTGAGGGAAGGAGGGCCTGGTGGTAGCCTGGGCGGGGCCATAGGTACGACTTGGGCCCCAAGGAGGGTTTACTCTGGTACAACAGGAATGGAGAGAGTTTGGAAGAGGCAAGGTGGGATCTGCTTCATAATTTTAAGATACCTGTGACTGCCAAGGGGAATATAGACCACAGGGCTAAGACCAGGAAAGGTGGCTCTGGGATGGGAAAGTGAAAAGTAGGCAGGGATCTGAGGACCTGTGTCAACCTGTGACCACCAGGATTTGGTGGCTACTCTCTGCATTAGGCTTCTGAGGAGGCAGGGGTTGTTGCTGCCTGCTGAGTGGATAGGGTGGCTCCCTGATCTCCCATCCCTGTTGCTGCAGCCCCTCAAGACCCTCTCCCAGGAGCGTCCCTTACCCAACATCTTCAATCTGTACACAATCCTCACTGTAATGTTCCAGTTCTTCGTGCACTTCCTGAGCCTCGTCTACCTATACAGAGAAGCCCAGGCCCGGAGTCCTGAGAAGTGAGTGCCACCTCAAGTGGAGGTGATCCTGATACCCCTGCAGTCAGGAATGGTAGGAGGATAAATGCACAGACATTGATGGAGAGCCTGGGGGTCATCTGGGATGAGGGAGGGACACAAGGCCAGGCTGGTATAGCCAGCCAAGCAGGGCCCTGGCAGGGAGCCATAAAGGGGATGTGAGCAAGAGAGAGGAACCCCTGACTCCTATGCATTCCTGCAGGCAAGAGCAATTTGTGGATCTGTATAAGGAGTTTGAGCCAAGCCTGGTCAACAGCACCGTGTACATAATGGCCATGGCCATGCAGATGGCCACTTTTGCCATCAACTACAAGGTGAGGCCTGGCTCCCTGCCCTAAGCATGCCCCATCTGCCCAGCAAGCACCCACCACATGCAGCCGCTGTCCATTCCTGCAGGGCCCTCCCTTCATGGAGAGCCTTCCCGAAAACAAGCCCCTGGTATGGAGTCTGGCAGTGTCACTCCTGGCCATCGTTGGCCTGCTCCTTGGCTCCTCACCTGACTTCAATAGCCAGTTTGGCCTCGTGGACATCCCTGTGGAGGTGAGTGGCCATGAGGCCAGTGGGGCTGAGCTTGGGCCTAGTTGTGTGTCCCTGGCGCAGTGGCCCTCCTATGGGGGTGACCTGGGCCCAGCTGCAGGTCTCTGGCTCACTGGCCTTCCCTGCCCTGACAGTTCAAGCTGGTCATCGCCCAGGTCCTGCTCCTGGACTTCTGCCTGGCGCTCCTGGCTGACCGTGTCCTTCAGTTCTTCCTGGGGACCCCGAAGCTGAAAGTGCCTTCCTGAGATGGTGGTGCTGGCACCTACTGCCCACCCTGGCTGCTGCCAGGCGGGAACCTGCCAGGGCCCCAGGAGGGAACACTGCCCCTCACCCCCCCAGTGGCAAGGCCATGCAGCCTTGTCTTTGGAAGACTGAGCTGTGACCTCCACAGCACTCCGCTAGCCTGGCAAATGGAACCAGCCCTGGGCTAGCATCTTTGGTAAATAAAGAAGCATCTGAGATTTTAAGAAGCTGTGCTTCTACCTCTGTCTGTGCCACACAGGGTTTACTGGGGTACTGTGGAGGTCTGGTGGTCACTGAGGAAGGGTCCAGCACTTTCCCCCCAGGCCGTGCAAGATTGTTAATGATGATACCCTCTATAGCACATGAGCAGTTGGATGGGCCAAGCTCCAATCCCAGAGAACTCTGTGTATTTTCTAGTGTTAACAATCACCCAAGTACTTTTGTGGTCTCAGTTTCACATTTGAATAACTCAGACACTTGAGAGAAGCCATAGAATTGGTGGTATTTTTCCCTTTTCCATAATACATAAAATAATTGTGTGCCTTGTTAGACTATGATATACAACATCGCAAATACCAACTTGGGTCACCCTCTTTGGGATCCTAGGCTGCTGTACCATCTCACATCACAAGACAGCATGCAGGTACAGGAGACTGAGATAGGATCCAAAGCCTGGCTCAGCCCTTATACTGATAGGTTCCTTTCAAAGTTCCAGAAGGGCCACACCTGTCCCTCTCCATCTGGAGAGCCAGGAGAGGAATTCCTGAATGGGACGGATGCAAGGATCCCCAATTGTGGGGACCCTCATACCTGGAGGAGCCTGGGATGGGCAGCATGAGAGCCTTGCCTTTAAAATCTTTAGGAAGCAAAATTATACTTTAATAAAGTGCCAGGCTGGTGGCACCCATAGCTCAGTGGGCGGGGCACCAGCCACATACACCGAAGGTGGCAGGTTCGAACCTGGCCCAGGCCAGCTAAAACAACAGTGACAAATGCAACAACAACAAAATAGCCAAGCTTTGTGGCAGGTACCTGGCTGAGGCAAGAGAATTGCTTAAGCCCAAGAGTTGGAGGTTGCTGTGAGCTGTGATGCAATAGCACTCTACGAATGGCAACATGAAAAAAAACTCAAAAAAAGTGCTGGTTGTGGGCACGTTTTTGTTACTGACAAGCTGCTTGTGGCAACCTCCAGGGCAGGGCTTCTGGACCCATCTCCAACACCCGACCTTTTACCCTCAGCTGCTTCACGGTCATCTTGTCCCCGCTCCTATTCAGTTTCTTCATCTGGTAGAGTGTGGCTGATGGCCTGAGGAAGCCCGCCCCTGTGAGCAGGAGTTAAGTGAGAGTAAGAAAGTAGGCTGAGATCCAGTGTGGGTCTCAGGAGAGGAAAGGGGATTAGATCCCGCCCAGCAGATGGGCCCTATAGTCTTAAGGAATGTAGGAGAGGCTGACTTTGACCTAGCGATGACTCTTGGGGGACCCGGGACAGTGGATCTCTGTCCACCTTATGTCTAAAAGGGGTGCTGTCTAGTTGTGCTATAATCTTGACCCTAAGAAGTTGATTCAGGTTTATAAGTCACTGGGGGTCGGTCCCCTCGGTCAGGTTTGGTGTACTTAAGAGGTATCGCGCATCCACCAGGGGGCACTATGACCACAGTCAGACCTGGATGGCTTGGGGCTTCAAGAGACCCCTGGCAGGGCTCACTGGGTATTAAGTGTGTGGAAGGCTCGTGGACAGGCTCCTGAGAGTGGGCAGACTCTGGGATCACTGAGGAAGGGGAATACTGTGGCTCCGTGGGATTTGGGGTGGCAAGAAGATCTGGGGAGAGAAAGGTTGGCCTGGAAGGATCCTAGGATGCCCAGCTATAGGGCTTGACCGGCTAGGTTGATTGCTCAGAGGCTTTTGGCCCGCCAGCGTCTCAGGCGCTTAAGCCGGGTACCCAGGCAAGGCTTCCGGGGGCAAGGGGCGTGGCTGTCTGTTGGGGGTGTGGTTTAGGCTGGGCGGAGCCACGCAGAAACCTGGGCTGCTCTGCTGCAGCAGCGGCAGGAAATCGGGGCTGGGCCCCGCTGGCGCGCGACACTTTCCCCATCCCGTTCCCAGCCGAGCGATACCCTGTCCTAGCCATGGATGAAGCAGAGCCGGGTAGGGGTTCTGGGATTCGGGAGGGACCTCACTGACCGTCCCTCACTTCCTAAATTGAAGAGCCCCTCCTGTCCCTCTCCATCTGGAGAGCTGGGAAAGGAATTACTGAATGGAAAAGATGCAAGGATCTCCCACTGTGGGGACCCTCATGCCTGGAGGGGCCTGGGACACCATCCCCTAACCCCCAAACCCCCTTCCTATTCTTTACCCCGGTCGGTCGCCTGGGGGAGGGGGCCCAGGAAGGGGAAGTGGCCGCTTCTGCTTCTGATTTTTGTGATGGGGGCAGGGTGTCACGACCGCTAAAAGAGAGGGCAAAGCAGTAGGATCCCCACAGGCCTCCTCCATAGCTCCAGTAAACAGGCAATGCTGATCTGGGGCCCCTGGAAGAGGGGCGGGGGCGGCGGCAGAAATGTGGCAAGATTCGGCTTGTGTTTCCGGCTGTCTTTGTGTCTTCCTAGTATATGTTGACTGTCATTCTGTCTTTATGCCCCTGGTGGTTTCAGTCTCTCCGTGTGTGTTTCTGCCTTGGGCTCTGTTCCTTTCAGTCCCATGTGTATTTTCCATCTGTTTGGCCTAGGGTCCATGTGATTCCATTGTCAAGCTCACTCTTTTTCCTGGGACAGTGAAGCTGCCTCTGGGGCATCTGTTTTGTTGCCCTGCTCTGGGTCCGTGTAGACCTCTGAGCAGCTGTCTCTGGTGGTGTCTAAGTCCGTCTGCCTGCCCAGAGTTGGCCCCACCCAAGCCCACTCTCTCTCCATCCCACACACTCCTCAAGAGGTCAAGACTTTCATTCTCTCTCTCTTTCTTTTTTTTTTTTTTTTTTTTTGAGATGAAGCCTCAAGCTGTCCCCCTGGGTAGAGTGCTGTAGTATCACTCGCAGCAATCTCCAACTCCTGGGCTCAAGCGAGTCTCCTGCCTCAGCCTCCCAAGTAGCTGGGACCACAGGCGCCCACCACAATGCCTGGCTATTTTTTTGGTTGCAGCTATCATTGTTGTTTGGCGGGCCCAGGCTAGATTTGAACCCACCACCTTAGGTGTATGTGGCTGGCGTCTTATACACTTGAGCCACAGGCGCCGAGCCCTCTCTTTCTTTCTATCTCCCCTCTGCCCCCAGTGAAATTGGTTGTGGTACCATGGGTAGAGGGAGGCAGTGGTTGGCCCATGTATTACGCTCCCTTTCCACAGGTTTTCCCTCAGCTCCCGAGGGCAGAAAGAGGTATAGTGACATCTTCCGGAGCCTGGACAACCTTGAAATCTCACTGGGGAACGTGTGAGTCTGAGCCTGGGTCACCCAGCAAATCCTTTCAGGATCCCCCCAACCGTGTAGGTGTCCTGAAACCTCACTTGGAATCTGCAACATTTGAACCAATTTACCTAATAATCTGAGAAGTCTAGGATGGGACCCTCCAAGACACTTGTATTTCCCAAAAGTCATCCCCCCAAATCAACTAGAAATCCCTAAAGTGGTCCTAGAACCTCACATATCCTTCTTGTGACCCCTTTAAACATTTGAAATCCCTCTATAATACCACTCTATGAGGCCCCAGATTACCTGGGGCCCTTCAAAAACTATCTCAAGTCCTATTAAAAACTCACCTAGCTCCCTCAAAACCCCATTCTTTAGACCTCCTAGATACAAAAGATACCACAGAGATGATTTCCAGGACCATCCCCTAACCTTCCCCAGAGCCCCTAAAGCCCTTGGTAAGACAGGTTGGGTGGAGGGTGGCATCCTGACACCCTTATCCCCCAGAACCCTTGAAATGCTGGCTGGAGACCCTGTGCTCTCAGGAGACCCAGAGCCTAACAAAGCCCCCCCAGCCATTGTGGTGAGTAGGGAGTGTGAGGAATGTGGGGACAGGGAGGAGGGGCCTTGGGAAGAAAGAACTCAGGGAGATAAGGCCCTTGCCCTGCTTGCTGCTGAATGCTCTCTCCCTTCCCACCAGACCAGTGAAGCCAGCTGTTGGAGCGGCCCCTCCTCAGAGGGCCCTGTACCCCTCACAGGTAGGGGACTTTGAAACCAGGACTATGGGAGCAGAAAGGAGTCCTTCCTTCAGCAAGTTATCATTAACCCCATGTTCCATGCCAGGCATCATTCAGATGCCAGGAACATGGCAGTACACACAACAGATTCAAGCCCATGCCCTCAAGGAGCCCCCAGTCTGGGTAAAGAATATGTAAAATTGCAACCAGGACAAATGATTCCACAGGGATGTTTGGGGAGCTGTAAGGATGTAGCACAGACACCATGAGATTAGTCTGGGGCATCAGAGAAGGCTCCACAGGAACATAGGACTCAGAAATCAGTAGTCTACCCATCTGTCCCAGGGGAGGAACTGGACTTGCGACTCATTCGGACCAAGGGGGGTGTGGATGCAGCCCTGGACTATGCTAAGACCTGGACCCGCTATGCCAAGGAGCTGCTGGCCTGGACAGAGAAGAGAGCCAGCTATGGTGAGGACTCCTTCTGCCCCAATCCTAGGCCAAAGGCAGTGCCCAAACCCTAGCTGGACCCAAATCCTTGCTGTCTCTCCTCCCAGAGCTGGAGTTTGCTAAAAGCATCATGAAGATCGCTGAAGCTGGCAAGGTGTCCATACAGCAGCAGGTAGCCATGACCAGGTCCCCTGAAAGCCCAAGGTCCCCAGGTCTCCAGCCTTGCCCCCAAGATCCTCAGCAGCTTTCTACTTTCTCCCTCTGCCCCTACACCCAGAGCCATATGCCGCTACAATACGTCTATACCCTGTTTCTGGAGCATGACCTCAGCCTTGGAGCCCTGGCCATGGAGACAGTGGCCCAGCAGAAAAGAGACTACTACCAGGTGAGGGGGTGAGGCATGATGGGAAAAAGGCCACTGTGCTGTCCTTTGTATTCTGAATCCCTGGGGAGAAAGGCACCACTGCCATCATCACCATTTTACTGATGAGGAAGCTGAGGCCCAGGGATGCTTAGAAACTTGCTCAAGGTTACCCAGCAGAGATTCAAACCCAGCTTCCTGCACCATTGCAAAATCATGCTTCAGTTTGTTTGTGCAGAGAGGCAAGAGGGGTTGTGTTCTCAGGACGAAGTTTCAGAGTCTGGGTCCAGGCAGAAAGGTTGGGAGACATGAGGACCTGCTCACTCATGAGCAAGTCTGAGTGAGAAGACTTGCATGGGAGTTGGGGAATGAGAATACAGACTCAGAAGAGGATCAGAGGAGGAAATGCACATGGGTGGAAGAATGGAAAGACTGCCTCTGAGGTATCCCTGAGGCAGTATCCCCATCCCCTGCCCTTGCCAGCCCCTGGCTGCCAAACGGACTGAGATTGAGAAGTGGCGGAAGGAGTTCAAGGAACAATGGGTGAAGGAGCAGAAGCGGATGGTGAGACCAGTAGCGGATGGGGGGCTGGCTGACCAAGGAGAGGCCAGGGTGCTGACCTTTGTTTATCCCTCACCCTCTACCCCAGAATGAGGCAGTGCAGGCACTGCGGCGGGCCCAGCTCCAGTATGTGCAGCGCAGTGAGGACCTGCGGGCACGCTCCCACGTGTCCCCTGAAGACACGGCCCCCCAGGCATCGCCTGGACCTAGCAAGCAACAGGAGCGGCGGCGGCGCTCACGAGAGGAAGCCCAGGCCAAGGTGGGGACTGGGCCATGAGCCTCTTCAATGCCCCCTACGTCCCTCTGTTCTCCCCCACATGTGCCCTCTGGCCCTGGTTTCCCTAGGCACACGAGGCAGAGGCACTATACCAGGCCTGCGTCCGTGAGGCCAACGCAAGGCAGCAAGACCTGGAGACTACCAAACAGCGGATTGTGTCCCATGTACGCAAGCTGGTGTTGCAGGGGGACGAAGTGCTGAGACGGGTGAGGCCCTTCACCACAGCTGCACTGATCTCACCTGGTTTGGGCCCTGGCTGCTGAATCCCACCCCTCACTGCCTCTGCCATCTCCACCCCTAAGCTCTGCTGTGGGCACTAGGGCTAGTCCATTTCTTTCCACTGTCAGTTTCTTTCTTTTTTTTTTTTTGAGACAGAGTCTCAAGCTGTCGCCCTGGGTAGAGTGCCTGAGGGTGGCATCACAGCTCATAGCAACCTCCAACTCCTGGGCTTAAACAATTCTCCTGCCTCTGCCTCCCAAGTACCTGGGACTACAGGCACCCGCCACAGCGCTCAGCTATTTTTTGGTTGCAGCCGTCATTGTTGTTTGGCTGGATTTGAACCCGCCAGCTCAGGTGTATGTGGCTGGTGCCTTAGCTGCTTGAGCCACAGGTGCCGAGCCTCCACAGTCAGTTTCTGCTCCAGACCCTGACTGCACCTTGTCCTCAGCCCCATCGCCATGAGGTTCTGTCCCAGGATGACCTGGCCTCTGTTCTCACCATACAAGTCCCTGTCCCTGGGCCCACTGCCCTAGTCCCTAAACCACACCAAGGTGACAGGCCCCACCCAAACCCTCACCTTGATCCTGTTTTTAAGGGTAGGTCCCGCTCCAGCCCAGGCTCCACCCCCATATTCCCAGGCCTCTCCCTTCCTTGACTGCTGTCTCCACCCTGCAGGTGACCCTGGGCCTATTCGGACTGCGAGGGGCACAGGCCGAGCGTGGCCCTCGTGCCTTCACTGCCCTGGCCGAGTGCTGCGCGCCCTTTGAGCCTGGCCAGCGCTACCAGGAGTTCGTGCGGGCGAAGCAACCTGAAGCCCCACCGCCCCCACCCCCTGCCTTCTCCTTCCAGGAGTTCATTCCCTCTTTGCATAGGTGGGCAGCAGGAGCAGGGAATCAGGAATGAATCCCCAAATCGCAGTGCCAGGCCATTGGCACCACAGGGATGGGTACTTGAGGTCAGAGAACTCAAAGCCTCTAATATTTAACCCTCAAGGCTCTCAAGATTTTTTGGGAGTTGGCCGGGTTGTCCCTTTCCTGGAAAGAACAGGACTTTGGGATTATTGCATTCCAGGGTAGATGATGCCTGGTGTGGGCTCACACCTGTAACCCCAACACTTTGATAGGCCAAACCAGAGGATTGCTTGAGAGCAGACTGGGCAACATTAGAGACCTCATCTCTTCAAAAAATTTTAAAAAGGAGCTGGACATGGTGGCAGGCACCTGTAGTCCTTGTTTTTCTGAGGCTGAGGCAGGAGGATTTCTTAAGTTTAGAACTGAGGCTGCAGTAAGTTATGATTGGGCCATTGCACTTCAGCCTGGGCAACAGAGTAAGACTCTGTCTCTAAAAAAACAAAGACAGAAAAGGGGCCACATTGTTCGTGGGCATCAGGGTTAGCAGACCCAAGTACTTGAAGTTGGGACCTAGACCCAATGCCTGAGTGCTATCATTTCAGGCCAGCTTCCTGGGGACCAAGCCCTCAAACCCCTGTTCTTTCAGCTCCCCTCTGGACATCAGGAAAAAGCTCTCAGGGCCCCTACCTCCAAGGCTGGATGAGAGTTTGACTGAGCCAGGCACTTGGGAGGACTCAGGCACAAGCTGGCAGGGTAAGTGCAATGAGAACCTACTGGGCATGGTACTGGGGTAGGGGGTTGTCCTTATTGACCTGTCCCCACCTAGGGACTCCAGGCCCCACTCCAGGCAGTGATGTGGACAGTGTGGGCGGTGGCATTGAGTCTCGGTCCATGGACTCTCCTACTTCTAGCCCAGGTAAGGATATAACCTGATCTGACCTCACAGTACACGTCTGATCATCCTCCAACCACTAGCCAAGTTCTCATCCTCAGTCTCTAACCTGTTCTTTGACCTCTGCCCTACCCTATACCCCAGACCTATTTTCTTGACCTATGACCCATTCTCTTTTTCTACCTTCTGAATTGCTCCACATGGTTTGATCCATTCTCTAGCCCTTAACCATTGACCTGCCTGATTCTCTCTACCTCTCCTGACTTTTTTTTTTTTTTTGAGACAGTCTCAAGCTGCCCTCCTGTGTAGAGTGCTATAACATCACAGCTCACAGCAACCTCCAACTTGGGCTCAAGCATTTCTCTTGCTTCATTTTCTTTCTTTTTTTTTTTTTGTAGAGACACAGTCTCACTCTATCACCCATGGTAGAGTGCCATGGTGTCACAGAGCTCACAGCAATCTCCAACTCCTAGGCTTAGGCGGTTCTCTTGCCTCACCCTCCCAAGTAGCTGGGACTACGGGTGCCCGCCAGAACGCCTGGCTATTTTTTTGCTGCAGTTCAGCCTGGGGCCAGGTTTGAACCCACCACTCTTGGTATACGGGGCCGGCGCCCTACCAACTGAGCCACAGGTTTTGAGACAGGGTCTCAAGCTGTCACGCTGGGTAGAGTGCTATGGCATCACAGCTTACAGCAACCTCAAACTCTTAGGCTTAAGTGATTCTCTTGCCTCAGCCTCCCAAGTAGCTAGGACTACAAGCACCAGCCACAATGCCTGGCTATTTTTTTTTTTTTTGGTTGTAGTTGTCATTGTTGTTTGGCGGGCCTGGGCCACCACTACTGAATTTGAACCTGCCAGCTCCAGTATATGTGGTTGGCACCCTAGCCGCTTGAACTACAGGTGCCCAGCCCCCCTCCTGACTTCTAACCCCTTCCATATGGGCATCTGTGAGTAGTTTTGGAAGCGTTGGAATCTCCCATGACCCCTGTGACCCTGAACCTCTGACTTTCTGACCCCAGGCCCTGACACACGGCGGCTGGTAAAAGTTTCATCAATAGGCACTGAGTCCTCAGATGACTTTGAGGAGCGAGACCCTGGTGAGGCTGGAAGCAGGAGGGATGGGACAGCATGGGAGGTGGTCCAGGCACCCCTAACCCTGTCTCCCTACAGACCTGGGAGAAGGGCTAGAGAATGGGCTGGGCAGCCCCTTCAGGAAGTGGACACTGTCCAGTGCAGCTCAGACCCACCGGCTGCGGCGGCTGCGAGGCCCAGCCAAGTGCCGCGAGTGTGAAGCTTTCATGGTCAGCGGAACGGAGTGTGAGGAGGTGTGGCTTGGGCTGATGACTACATGACCTCTGCTGGCCCCTAATCACCTCCCTGATCTGAGATCCCTACAACTTTCCTGTCCCTGGACCTGCCCTGATCTGATCTATAGTCACTTGTTCGCTGAGGATCTCTATGACCTTCTCTTCCCCTATTGGCCCCCTGTGACCTTCCTGACCCTGTGACCTTCCCCTAGTGCTTTCTGACCTGCCACAAGCGCTGCCTTGAGACTCTGCTGATCTTCTGCGGACACAAACGACTTCCCACTCGGACACCCCTCTTTGGGATTGACTTCCTGCAACTGCCCAGGGACTTCCCGGAAGAAGTTCCCTTTGTGGTCACCAGGTGCACAGCCGAGATAGAACACCGCGCCCTGGGTGTGCAGGTGCCACCTTGACCCTTGATCATCCCTAAAAGTGATCCAACCCTGTTGATGGCTAGATCATGAGCCAGATGTCCCTTTCCTGCTCTTGTCCTACAGGGCATTTACCGGGTCAGTGGTTCCCGGGTTCGGGTGGAGCGGCTGTGCCAGGCTTTTGAGAATGGCCGTGCGTTGGTGGAGTTGTCAGGAAACTCACCTCATGATGTCTCAAGTGTCCTCAAGCGATTTCTCCAGGAGGTAGGTGTTCAGACAATTGTGGGGGGAACTCAGGCTGAGGACCCTCCACATCCCACCCACACTGCTGTCATCCCCACCCATTGCACCCCCAGCTCACCGACCCTGTGATCCCCTTCCACCTCTACGATGCCTTCATCTCTCTGGCTAAGACCTTGCATGCAGACCCTGGGGACAACCCCGGGACCCCCAGCCCCAGCCCTGAGATTATCTGCTCACTGAAGACCCTCTTGGTACAGCTGCCTGACTCTAACTACAACACCCTGCGCCATCTGGTGGCCCATCTGTTCAGGTGTGCATGGGTCCCTGAACCTTGAAACATGACCTCCTTCCCTGGACATGAATTACTACTGACCTGCCGCTGACCTGACACTGATCTCTGACTTTTAACATATATTTTCTGAACTCTGAACCTTAATATGTGACTGGTAACTTTGGGTACTTACCCCTGACCCCCCACTCTGGGCATGCGGCTGCTGGTCTCAAGCAATGATCAAGTCATTGCTAGGTTGGCCTGTGGATTCTACTCTTACCCTCAGACTGATGACCTAACATCCCATGCCCTGACTCTCTCCTCATACTATCCCTAGGGTGGCTGCACGGTTTGAGGAAAACAAGATGTCTGCCAACAATTTGGGCATTGTATTTGGACCAACACTGTTGCGGCCACCAGATGGTCCATGGGCAGCTGGCTCCATTCCTGTCACCTGCCTGCTGGACTCAGGACACCAGGCCCAGCTTGTCGAGTTCCTCATTGTGCACTATGAGCAGATCTTTGGGATGGATGAGCTCCTGCTGGCCACTGAGCCTCTGCCCCAAGAATCCAGCTCAGCTCCTGGACCCCTCACAACCAGCTCTGAGCTGCTACTGCCACACCTTGGCCCAGACCCCAAGTCCCCAGCCCTAGCCTTGGACCTTGACCCAGACCCCAAACTCCAGAGTACCCTGGAGAAGCATCCCGACACCATGCCCCCAGAGGTAAGAACCCACTGGGCCCATGGTCATGGAGAAGACCTTATCTCTGTTTAATTCTCTTTATCTCTCTCTTGTCTTTCTTCCTTCCTTTACCTTTAAAATTTCTTTTATTTTCTTTCTCTCTTCCTCATTTAACCCATGTTTATTCTGGAAGGAATACTGAGAAATTGAGTGGTGGGCAATAATGGAGTAACAGCAGGAGACAGCCCTGCAGAGGTACTAATATGGGTGACCATTTATTCCGTCAACAGAATATATATTGAACACTTAACTACATGCCAAATATTGTTCTAAGCAGGAAGCTGCATCAGTAAGCTAAATATTCAAAGACCCCATCCTTTCAGCACCTACATTTCATGGGTGAAAAGCTGACAAATAATAAATATGATACAAAGTCAGTTATATATAATAGAGGAAAGAAAGGGTACAGTAAGGGACCAGACATCTAGAGCATCAAGGTAAGAGAGGCATGTTATAGCAGTAAGTAGGATGGTGTGGGCAGGTCTCATGGAGAAAGTGGATTTGAACAGAGGCTGGAAGGATGCAAGGAAGGAGTGAGTCATATGGAGTTCTGGGGAAGGGTGTTCCAGGCAAAGAGGACAGCTAGAGCAAAGACCCTACCGTGGAAGCATGCCTGGTATTCAGGGTACCGCCCTATCCTGTAATGAATTAGGGGAAGGTGGTGGGAAGAAAGACCAAAGAGGAATGGGTCCAGATGGCTCTGTCAGCTCCCAGTGACCTCTAACCTACTATGCATGGGGCATAGACCACCAATGGATGCACACCTACTATGCACCAGGTCTATACAGTCTTCCCAACATCCTCTCCACAGTCCTGATAGGCCCTGAGTCATTAAGTAGCCCTAAAAGGAGAGCCATAGCAAGTGACTTTAACAGAGTCACTTGTCAGGATCCAGAGGTCAGCTGTGAACCAGGAAGATGGCAGCAGTGGCCACTCTGGGCAGCCCAAGGCTATACGCAAGGGTTGTGCTCCTGGTATCCTGCCACACACACCATTCCTTTGGTCAAAGACATCCCCCAAGAGCAGCCCCAAGCTGGGAAGGAATGGTCAGTGAGTTGTGAGTCTCTGAGAACTGGAGTGGCTCATAAAATAAGAAAGAAGTCAACATAGAAAGAACTCAAGCTGCCATTACCTAAAGGCAGAGCCCTAAGAATATACAGATATAGTAGAAAGCAGACTTGATGCAAGTTGATAACAGTTGTAGAGAGCAGCACAAGATGGTACTTCAGAGGCACTCCCTAGTCCTAATGTGAAGATGGCTTTTTTTTTTTTGAGACAGAGTCTCACTTTGTCACCCTCAGTAGAGTGCCATAGGGTCACAGCTCACAGCAACCTCTAACTCTTTGGGCTTAAGCAGTTCTCTTATCTCAGCTTCCCAAGCAGCTGGGACTACAGGTGCCCGCCACATCACTGGGCTATTTTTTTTGTTGTAGTTATTGTTGTTTAGCAGGCCTGGGCCAGGTCGAACTCACCACCCCAGGTATATGTGGTCAGCGCCCTTAACCACTGAGCCAGGCTTTTTTTTTTCCCCCAGGCTTTTTTTTTTAAATGTCTCCCTTTATTGCCTGGGTATGTATGAGGGCAGTGGCATGATTACAGCTCATTGGAACTTAAAACTCTTGAGCTCAAGTGATCTTCCTGGCTCAGCCTCCTTAGTAGCTGGAACTACAGACATGCACCGCTAAGGCTGGCTAATTTTTGTTTTTTTTTTTTTGGCTGGGGCTAGGTTTGAACCCACCACCTCTGATATATGTGGCCGGCACCCTACTCCTTTGAGCCACAGGTGCCATCCTAGTTTTTGTAATTTTTATAGAGACAAGGTCTCACTGTGTTGCTCAGGCTAATCTTGATTGAACTCCTGGCCTCAAATAATCCTTCCTCCTCAGTCTCCCAAAGCGCACTGTGGCATAAGTAATACACTTTTAAGAGCATCTTGTATCCCACAACTGCAAAGGAACTTTTGAAAATCCAGGAACAATGGCAGCACACGTAGCTCAGTGAGTAGGGGGCCAGCCACATACACCCAGGCTGGCGGGTTCGAACCCAGCCCAGGCCAGCTAAACAACAATGACAACTACAACAAAAAAAGAGCCAGGCGTTATGGCTGGCACCTATATTCCTAGCAACCTGGGAGGCTGAGACAAGAGATCGCTTAAGCCCAAGAACTGTGAACTGTGACTCCATGGCACTCTACCAAAGGCAATATAGCGATACTCTGTCTCAAAAAAAAAAAAAGAAAATCCAGGAATAAGCCCTTGGCTCTCTATGAGTGTCAAAGAACTCAGTGAGTTTTATGGGTCTTCATTTTGAGGTTTCTCCCTGCAGATTCCAACTCTACAGAGTGACCAGAGAGAGGAAGAGCCTGAAGACACCAAAGATGATGGGGAAGGTGAGTTTGTTATGAAGTAGCTTAGAAGTTCTAAGGATGCCCCTACCCAGACTGCCTTAGCTGAAAGATGATTCCTGGGGGGATATCCAAAGGACCTGGGGGTGCTCACCATTGATGACCTCACCCCACAGCATCCAGTCAAGGCCCTGAGGACTTACTCCTGGGAACACAGTCGCGTGGCCACTTCAGTCGCCAGCCAGTGAAATATCCCCGAGGGGGTGTGCGGCCTGTCACCCACCAGCTGTCCAGCTTGGCTCTGGTGGCTTCCAAGCTGTGCGAAGAGACCCCAGTCACATCAGTGCCCAGAGGGAGTTTGCGGGGGCGGGGACCTGGCCCTGCTGCCACCTCCCGTGAGGGCAGCCCCCTGCGCCGAGCCCCCCTGCCTAAGCATTTTGAGATCACCCAGGAGACAGCCCGGCTACTCTCCAAACTGGACAGTGAGGCTGTGCCCAGGGCCACCTCCTTCCCAGACCCTCAACCTGAGGAAACTGAGGAGCATCTCTGACCACCTTGACTAAGGGAGGAACCCAGGACTAGGAAAATGGACCTATTGTCTCCCTACCTCCCCTCACTTGGTAGCCAAACATCGGGCCAGTTCAATGTTGGGAGTGGGAGAGACCACAGAATTTCTGTAAAGAAAGACTACATGGCTTGGGAGGAAGCCTAAAACCCTTGTGGAGGCAATGTCCCAGGACTCCCCCACCAGACACAGGTCACTGCCAAGCATCAGAGCTATTCAGGCTCAGAGGTCATTCAGGGTCAATACTCAGGGTGAATACAGACAGGTTATGAGATCCTTGGGGTACTTACTTCTAATCTCCTATACTGGACAGTATAGGAGCCTTTTGCTACTTTAGTTGTGGTCACTTCCTCATTCCTGCCTGCCTCCTTCATTGACTCCAAGTGACCTGTTCCCAGAAGAGGTGGGCAGCTCAGACTCCAAATCCTGGCGGTCCTTGAGGTCTGAAGTCTGACGACTTTTAAATAAACTGTGTCCTATGTACCGTGTATGTCTGTCTTTACCGGGGCGGGGGGGGGGTGGCAGGGGAGAAAGGTTAGCAAGAGCAGTACCCTTTGAATCCATTTTACTGACCAGGCTAACTGTAGCACCGCCCCCCTCCCCCCCCCCCCGCCTTCTTCATCCCTAATTACCTGGGAGCACTTACAGACAACTGGGGCTGAGTCATGCCGACCTGGCCCTCCCGGAGCTCCACGTCCCTGATCTGGTCCTGCATAGTCAAACAAATACAGTGTAACAACATGCAGATAACCGGGACAATGGGGCTGTGTGCTCTGGATCGTAGGAGCCTGGAGAACGACGCGAAAAAGAGAGGAATTTGCAGGGCAGGGCCGTACAAGGGACAACGCTGTCTCAGGATGGGGAGTGCGGGGGCGGAACTGCAAAAAACTTCACTGCGCCCGATGGTCAGCTGGAGCCGGAGAGGTCTGCGGAGCACCGGAGGTAGCAACGCCTTAAAGCTGAGAGCTGGGAAAGCTGAGGCTGGGCTGGGGTCCCAGCAGTGGGATCCAAGTCAGATCAGGGCGTGGCTTGTAATTCGGCGGCCGATTGGACGCGAGGGAGAGGGCAGGGTGGGGTTGAGAGGGTGGGGGGTCTGGAGCTGGGGCGCAGACCTGGAGACCACCCGGAGCTGCGCCTGGGCGGCTTAAGGTCTCGGCGGGACTTCTGGAGTAGCCAAGTGATTCAGCCCTGAAGGCGAAACTGCAAGCCTGTAAGGTGTGCAGGGGTCGGGGTAGGGGTCCCGCGCCGGAAACGGAGAAGGGGGACAGAGGGGCCGCGAGACTGGGAGGAAATGGGGGAGCGGCGGTTCCGGGCGACCCCGCCCCCGACGCGGCCTCGGAGGCGGGGCTTCCCCAGGTGGCGGGAGCGGGGCGGGGCTCCCCAGGTGGTGGAGGCGGGGCGCGATGGTCGGGGCTAGGGGCGGGACGCGAAGGGGAAGACCCCGCCTCCCGCGCCCTCTCGGCAGCCCGCGCTGGGCGCACCCGTTCGCTCCTTATCCCTCGCTGCTAGGCCATGGGCCTCGGGCCCACCCCGACCCCCCGCAAGCCTGACCCCTCTGCTGCGTGACGGGCGGCCCAGGTGAGGCCAGCATGGACGGGAGGTGGGTGGGCACGGGTCCAGAGGAGGGCGCGGCACGTGCCAGTCGGGTTGGGGCGCCGCCCCCTGTTCCCTTATTCCTACCCCCTCCCCGGCTTGAGGATGCCTGGAGGCCCGGCCAGCTGCGGCCTCCCTGTCTTTGTCCCGAATTTCGCCAGGGTCCTCCGTCTCACCCAGGACGACCCGGTGCCCCGCCCATTTAGAAAGCACTGGCGCCCAAGTCCTGCTGCCCAACTTCTGGGGCCGCCTTTCTGCTCACTCTCCTGGGCGGCTCCGTCGCCTTCACGCCTCCGCTCCGCCGGCCCCGCCCGAGGGTTCCAAGCAAGTAACCTGGCTCTTGTGCTCACATACTGCCTAGTCTCTGCTTCCTGCACCGACCCCGGCACCAAATTGACCCTAGCTCATCTTGTCACACGACTCACGCCCCTTTGTCCTGCCCTAACTCTCTTCAATCCCCAACCCCACCAGGTCACAAATTGGTGACAGGAGTGCTGAAACTGGTCTGTAGATGGGTTTTGTTTCGCTTCTCTATTAACAAACAAAACAAGGCATTGTGTTGAGTGACAGCTTTCATAAAGATCTTTTATAGTAGGTAAGGAACAGTTGTTCCCCTGGCCCCACCCCGCAAAGCTTCCTTTTTCCAGATTAGCCTGGTCCATTTTGCTCCAAGGCATATAATTTGAGACCCCTTGCCCTTTCTGTTGTGACCCTCCCCTCTGGCTACTGCCCCCTCCTGTGTCTTTCCAAGCGCCAGTGCCACATTCACTGACCTCTCCCTCTGTGCCCCCAGGTGGTCACTATGGGCCAGTGCTACTACAACGAGACCATTGGCTTCTTCTACAACAACAGTGGCAAGGAGCTAAGTTCTCACTGGCGGCCCAAAGATGTGGTTGTGGTGGCCCTGGGGCTGACTGTCAGTGTGCTGGTGCTGCTGACCAACCTGCTGGTCATAGCAGCCATTGCCTCCAACCGTCGCTTCCACCAGCCCATTTACTACCTGCTTGGCAACCTGGCTGCAGCTGACCTCTTTGCCGGCGTGGCCTACCTCTTCCTCATGTTCCATACAGGTCCACGCACAGCACGGCTCTCACTTGAGGGTTGGTTTGTGCGACAGGGCCTGCTGGACACAAGCCTCACGGCTTCAGTGGCCACACTGCTCGCCATTGCTGTGGAGCGGCACCGCAGTGTGATGGCTGTGCAGCTGCACAGCCGCTTGCCCCGTGGCCGTGTGGTCATGCTCATCGTGGGCGTGTGGATGGCAGCACTGGGCCTCGGGCTACTGCCTGCCCATTCCTGGCATTGCCTCTGTGCCTTGGACCACTGTTCACGCATGGCCCCCTTGCTCAGCCGCTCCTACCTAGCTGTCTGGGCACTGTCCAGCTTGCTTGTCTTCCTACTCATGGTGGCCGTGTATACCCGCATTTTCTTCTATGTGCGGCGGCGCGTGCAGCGCATGGCAGACCACGTCAGCTGCCACCCTCGCTACCGCGAGACCACACTCAGCCTGGTCAAGACTGTTGTCATCATCCTGGGTGAGTGGGGACCTGCCTCAGCCCTCCAGAGACCCTGGGAAACAATGAACAAAACAAGTGATCTGATAGAGTGTGATGGGAGGGGATGATTTGAGTAACGAATATTCTCCTAGAATGGAATATCTGAGTAGAGACCTGAAAGCTAGGGGAAAGGAAAAGCATTCCATGCAAAGGAAGTAGAAGGTGACAATCTCTAAGGCAGGACCAGGCCACAGCCTCCAAAGAGGAGAGGCTGGCTGGTGAGGAGTAGAGGTCAGCAAGGCCTCAGGGGTCCTGGACAGGAGTCAGATTTTGTTCTGAGTTCTGTGAGAAGCTCTTAAGAGGTGTTAGCAGGATTGGATGTACAATGAACTGGGAAGAAGGGAGAGGTGGCAAGACCCCCCTCCATGAGGATACATCCACCCTTCCAGAATGAGGATCAGCTGTTCCCAGTGATCCTTTTCCCCTTACCAGGTAACCAGTCTGTGGTGACCTCCTTTCTCTCATTGAACAAATCTCCATGTAGAAATGTCCAGGGTCCCGGCCACTATGTACCATTTAGGAAAGGTGTCTCCTCTTAGCAGACTACACAGTTGTTGCCCAAGCTCTGGAGACTACTCCAGCTCTGAGCTCAGAGCCATAGGCGCTGGGCCTCCTGACACTCCACCCTTCTTACGTCAGCCTCCATCCCACAGGAGCCTTTGTGATCTGCTGGACACCAGGCCAGGTGGTGCTGCTCCTGGATGGTCTCGGCTGCAAATCCTGCAATGTCCTAGCTGTAGAGAAGTATTTCCTACTGTTGGCTGAGGCCAATTCACTGGTCAATGCTGCAGTGTACTCATGCCGAGATGCTGAGATGCGCCGCACTTTCCGCCGCCTCCTCTGCTGTGTGTGTCTCCGCCGGTCCACCCACAAGTCTGCCCGCTATCCATCTTCTACTCAGACAGGTGCCAGCACTCGCATCATGATTCCTGAAAATGGCCACTCTCTGATGGACTCTACCCTTTAGCTACCTTGGACTTCAGCAGGAGGCAGCAAGCACCAGATCTGCAGCCCCTGATTCAGCCCAACCAGTGGAATAGACTTAAAGGCAAACCCCTGGTCTGGAATGGTACAACACTACTGCCAGCCCTCTCCAGGCACACAGCTATATCTATCCAGAGCTCAGGGTTTTGGGGTTACCTCCAAGTACCTGGGAGAGTCAGATGGGATACAAGAATCTGGCTCTCTAGTCATCTCAGGTTTGGGGTTTTATTCATAGATACTTTTTTATTTTTATGGCACGTCTCTGGTAAACCCTGTGGACTGAATGGTTCCTCCAATGTGATGCTGTGTTAAGAGTAGGAGAGATGAAAGCTATTGTAGACCATGCTGCCCAGTGTGACAGGATAACAAGGACATACTATGGACACATCATCTTTTAAAAGGTGATTCTTGGGCTGGGTGTGGTGGCTCACGCCTGTAATCCTAGCACTCTGGGAGGCCTAGGCAGGTGGATTGCTTCAGCTCATGAGTTTGATAACAGCCTGAGCAAAAGCCAGACCCCATCGCTACTAAAATAGAAAAAGTGAAGCAAGAGGATTGCTTGAGCCCAAGAGTTGGAGGTTGCTGTGAGCTATGATGCCATGGTACTCTAGCAGGGCAATGCCTTGAGACACTATCTCAAAAAACATAATAAAATAAAATAAAAGTGATTCTTTAGCAACACAGACTGAGGGGCACTGAACTGGGAAAGGTTTGTGGCCCCTTGCATCCTGCAGGGCCTTGCCTGTACCTATCAGAATTGAGGAAGGTCCAGAGGGAGGATACAATACAAGGAGTAAACTTTTCACCAAGGTCTTCAAAGCATTTTTTTGTTAAAAATCCAGATTGTCTGTCCCTGTGTCCTGGACTTGTCCTCCTTCGCTCAGGCCTATCAGAGCTCCTTCAACATGGCATTTCTTTGGCCCTGTTTTCACTCTTATTTCTTCAGTCTTTGGCTGGCTGCTGCTCTTTCTTTGTGGAGTCTTGCATCTATTGCTTTTTTCCTTTGTTGTTCATCTCCTCTTTCTGGTCCCCTGTCTCCATCTTGCCACCTGCCTGTCTGTCTTCTTTCTCTGGAGCCTGGCCCATAGGTGCCAGGCTATGGGTCTCTGGCCCATATGTGCCCTCACCCCTGCCTGCCCTCTTCTCTGAGTCCAGATTATTAAAGGTCACATTCTCAGACATGTCTACCCCATTGCCTACCCTGTCACCTATATTTACACTTGGAGCCATAGGTCGTGGGGTCTAGATAGCAGGATGCAGAACTTGAGAGTTGGTACACTGATAAGCACTTTAGGTGCATTATTTATTCATCACCTGCATCTTGTCACACAGATATACCTATTTTCCTGTGAGCAGAGTGACTCAGACAAGTTTCATTCTGGGCCCATGGTTACACAGCTTGAAAAGGGCACAGAAACACACTGAGGGATTAGAGAATCCCTAGGAGGAAAGTGCTTTAGATTCCAACAAAGCCCAGAGTTGGTTAGCAACTCAGCTGGGCTTTCCCCGTCTCATCCCACAGTCCCCAAAACCTCAGATGTGTCAGACCCATGATGAGGCCACTCTCAGATGCCCCTGCCTGCAGTGTGGACCAGGACCTGGATTCTTTGCTCCCAAATCACTAATAAGGACACAGGGCTATGTTTCTACTTCAGTTTCACTTGCTGAATAGCAGCTAGTATTTGAACCCAGATCTCTCATCAGACGCCAGTTCTTAAACCACTAAAGCATGCATTGCTGAAGAACCAAAAACATCTAGGTCCTTTTACATCAAATGGGTCTAGGTTTCCTTTTGGGAAAACTCTCCCTTGCCTCCTCTATGTGCTAGGTCCAAGGACCAAGTGGGTAGCATGGCTCCAAGGGCCTGGGGCCTAAATATCCAGAGGTGATTACCTAGGCACACACCCATGACAGATTCAGTTCTTGCCTTTATGGAGCTCAGAGCCTGAGAGACAAGTCACTTTTGGGTGCCAAGGCAGCAAACCAATTCCTATGAAGTAGAGGCCCCTGATGGCCTCCAAAAGCCATCTCTAAGCTGGCTGCTCTTACATCGGCATCCTCCAGATTCTAACCTGCACTCTCATGTCTCTTGGGATTTTGTCTCATTTCCTCTTGTCAATTTCTTCTCTCCACCAAGTGGCTTCAAGATTTTGTGTCTGCTGATTGCTGAAGCTTTCAATAGCCTCCCTGCCAAGTTTTCTCTCTCTCTCTCT